AGAGTGACTGTTCACGTCAGACACTATTTCTGGCATATACAGTAAATGACATAAGACTGTGGTCGTTATAAAAGTGTTATAAATATAATTTATATAAGTTAGAATTCAAATTGACCAATCAAGAAATTTGTACTAGTATTGCGACATCGACGTTAGTTTTAGTTAATATTAATGAAATAGTTCAACATTATCCAATCAGCAAGCGCCTCTTTTTTGAATATCCTGTCGCAGTTGCTACGTCATGGGAAGGCATGTGCGCGCATTATGATCGTAGACAATATTTAGCTTTTGGGCCAATCATTACTGAATATTTGAATTTGAATGAAAGCTGATGACCGACTTATACATTTCTTTATAAATACACCTATAAGTAAATCTCTAGCGTTGTACCTTTCATTGTAGTAATTATTCTATATTTAAACAACGATGATTCCAACTAAGGTGCCTTATTAGATGATCTGAGACGTATATGGCAAAGTAATGTGCAAGGTGAACACATTATTGCGTCCAGACTCTTCTCCAAATCAAATCAAATCAAATCAAATCAAATCAAATCAAATCAAATCAAATCCAAATTATTGTTGCTATAAATTAACACTACTGTAGAATACTTTATTTTCGCTGGAATTAATTTTCGCTGAAAAGGCTTTTTGGGCATTTTGCTTGGAATTTATTTTCATTGATTTTTCATGAGTTTAATGTGAAATATAGGGAAAAAAGTATATTCGCTGGATTTTATTTTCACGGAATCATCCCTTCAGCGAAAATAGCGAAAATAAATTCCAAGCAAAAATAAAATATTCTACAGTATCACAATTTTAAAAAAAATAGTTAAATATAAGGGTTTTTGGTGAAATTATTTACTTGCAAACGAAAGGTTTGATTATCCCGTGATAATGTAAAGCTATGATGTCATAAAAACATATAATTCTGATATTGGTGATTTGTAATATTCAATAATGTACTTTCACCATTCATTTCAAAGTTTACTGAAAATAACATTTCACTCACCATGTTCGCATGTTATCCCTGAAAATCCTGTGTTAGAACAATCACAGATATACCATCCATCTGTGTTGATACACACACTGTTACCATGGCACGGAGAAATACCCCAACATTCGTCAATATCTAAACATAACGAATAGAGTAACAATACTTTATATGCTTATATTAAAGCGCGGTGGTCGTCGCGCAGTGCATGTTCGAATTTCATGTAAATAAACAATGTATTTTACACGCGTTGTATACGTCGCTATGAGTCCCATATCGAACAGGACGCGGCGCGACGACTGCCGCCCTTTAAAGCTGTGAACATAAATTCGATAAATTACTACAATTTATGACTGTTAAAAAAATACGTTTATATTTCCCCCTAATAATAATATTCATAATACTGAACCTTTTTCACAATGTTTTCCATGGTAACCAGTGCCGTCACAATAACATCTGTACCCTCCTTGTGTATTCACGCATGAGCCGTAATTCTGACATGGATTTTTAGTCACACATTCGTCAATATCTGAGGGGAGGTCATAAATTACACATGGATTTGACATCACACATTCATTAACGTCTTAGGGGCCATAAGTTACACATGAATTTGTAGTCATGCATTAGGCAATATCTTAGAAAAGGTCAAGCTTTATATTTCAACTGTTCTGAATATACTTTTAAAACAAGGGATATCATTTTAAAACAACCTTTAATACTCAAATGCTCACCTGCTTCACAGTGGTTCCCATGGTAACCAGAGTCATCACAATAACATATGTATCCTCCTTGTGTGTTCACACATGAACCGTCATTTTGGCACGGATTTGCAGTCACGCATTCGTCAATATCTGTTACATTTAGAGTGGGGTAAAAATACATAAGGTCAGTTATTAAAGCGGGATCGTCGTCACCTGCACACGCACGGGAATTGAGTCCCAAGCTAAAAACGCAAAGGCTCATGTGTAAACACTTGTTTGTAAACAATGACACGCTATGACAGTCTGCCGCATGCGCAGGTGACGACTCCCCTGCTTTAAACATGCATTAAGCACATACGCAAAACGTGCATGCGACTTGTTTTAGAACAGCGACAACTGAATAAACTAACCAATATCGCAGTGCAATCCTTTATACCCTGTATCTGTACAGTCGCATTTGTAGGAACCTTTGTCATTGAGACATAACCCATTGTGTTTACATGGCTGAAAAGATGCACATTCGTCAATATCTGAAACAAACAACAGGTCTATGAATACAAGTGTACTCACAATAGGATGTAGTAATTGTGTTACTTTACTTTAAATGACAAATATTTCCTTTGTTGAGTGTCTGATTCCTGTTAAATTATCAGGGCATACTTGTACAATAGCTTTACACTTTTGTATGCGTTTGCCTAAATTTAGTTATATTTTATTTTGGACATTTGGTGCACGTAACAAGATACACACCTGTTTCATAGTGGTTTCCTTGGTAACCAGTGTCCTTGCAATAACACACGTACCCTCCTAGCGTATTCATACATGAACCGTCATTTTGACATGGATTTGCAGTCACGCATTCGTCAATATCTAGAGATCATAATATAATAATAAATGTATTGCATCTTTAAAAATAGTACACATCAATATGTCAGTAAAATGTCAGTTATTGTTATTTCTGATTTCAAATATTTTTTTTTTCAAATAATTCAAGTGTTCACCAACTTGTCTTTTCTTGAACTCATAATATATTTAAATACCTGGACATCACTTTTTAATTCTTTCTGTTTGGTATCTAAGATATTCCAAGAAAAATGATCTTTATTTTTCAATTTTGATTCGGGAACGTTGCTTACAGATTTTGTCTTGTAAGGCTATTATGGGTTGGGTATGTTTATCTTTCTCTATGAATACTTTATTCAGAAGCAAGTTTTCATGTTTTTGATTACATAAAGGCAAATATGGTTCAAAAGTGTATGAGTCCTTAAACGTTATGTTCATTTTTAGTTTTCTATTATTATGTATTACACCCAACTTACAGAACTCTTCATGGCTGTGTCAGATATTATTTTGTATATTTTACTGTGTGGTATTTTTAAGGTGTGACAGACAAAGACAAATTTGCAGTATTTTATGTATAGTCAACTTTACCAACCAAAGTTCAATAATTCTGTCGTCGCCTCAACAATATACCTTGGCAGAATTTCCACTATAAAACTGTATTCCCTTCTGACGAAATCAAACACAATGGCGTGTGCTCTGATGTATTTCCATAGCAAATGGAACATTAAGTTATGTGGTGTGATGCGTTTCCATGGGAATTCGAATGTAAAGTCGCGCGTTTTCATCTGTAAAGCTATAACGTTATATACGACGATACAATCTATTGAAAATTTGAAACTGATGTGTGATTTGTTACAGGAATGCTGATTGGCGGGTCTATTTTTGGTGCACCCAATCAAATCATTCAAATTAACTGATGTCAAATACAGGATTTCCTGGCACAATCACGTACGGGTTGACAAATACGGCCATGGATCCCTGGCTTCAGCGAAACCGTGCAAGCCGATCAATGATATACAGTGTGTAATGGATGGGACAGGTTAATGATAGAAAGAATTTGGAGTGCATTTAGTTTAAAAATCAAGGAGAAATTTAACTTGTTTGTGCTTCAAAAAAAAAACACATAAAAACAACTAACCAATATCGCAGTGAAATCCTTCATAGCCAGTATCTGTACAGTCACATTTGTAGGATCCTTTGTCATTGAGACATAACCCATTGTGTTTACATGGCTGAAGAGATTCACATTTGTCAATATCTGAAACAAACGTCGTAAGAAATCGGTTAATCACTTTTATTAACTATTATTGTTATAAAAGCCACGGTTAATAAGTTAATATTACTGTTTAACTAATCGTATCATAGTGAAGCACCGATTGTTGATGTAGACCTTTTTGACCGGGGGGGGGGGGGGGACTTGCGAAAAATACTGACAGGGGTGTGCAGCTGGTTGTTTGAAACAACTACCCCTTATCAGACAGAGATAAACTCAAATTGCCCACCCCTTTTCAGACAAACTGTGGATATTTGACATCCCTTTCCAGACAGTAAGCATATATGGGACCAAGGGAAAAGCAGGTGGACTCCCGGGGATGGACTTTCGATCGAAATGAAGTTACAGAAAAAAAATCAGCTTCATTCTCCTGATTGATGGATCACTCAAGCTCTAGAGACAGTCTTTGGAAAATATGGACTCCTTTTTTAGACAGAAATAATGAAAAAAAGATACCCCTTTTCAAACAGATCTGGGTAAAATAACATACCCCTTTTCAGACAGAAGTGGTGAATTTGGAACATGTACATGTGAGGGTCTTTTGAGCAGAACCATAATATAATACACCCATGTTGACACCTCGGGTAATGTCACCGTCGTCACCCTTCGTATCTAAGTAATTGATAGACAGTGGGTGTTAAGCTGTCTTGTTAACTGTTAGTTAAGTACATGATGCAAAGAAACATCAGTCTTTGTACTTCAAAACCATCGTCAAGACACAAAACGCGACTTAACAAGCGGTAGTCGTTGCGCTGTGCATGTGCCACATTTGTGTTGATAAACATTGATTCTCCCAAAATCCAATGCGCTCTTCAAATGGAAATCACAAGAATGAGGTTTGACCTTTGTGCAACTTGCACTGATTACCGCCAGTGACTCCTTCGATACCTTCCAATAACACGAAAATTACTTAATTGAAGCTTGGAAACGTCTCAGTTCGTACTCGTTGATCTGCGCAACAGTCAAAGTCGCCGTCTTTGTTTATATGAGACCCATATATCTCACACATGCGCAGCGCGACGACTACCACGCTTTAAGTAACTAGTATCTATTTGCGTGTATTATTAAGTGTTTAAATTATTCATCAATAAAATGCTGTTCACTTGTTTCGTATCAATATCAATCCCCTACACCATTTCTACGATTTGCACATTCTTTTGTGGCGTTCACTTGCACCTCCAGAAATTTGGTAGGAGGCCTCTTCTATTGACGTGGACTGGGTTTGTCAATTGATTTGTCAATTGTTCTCTTTCTTTGCAGGCTTTATCTTTTAAATCGGTCACTGCGGTTGGCTTTGTCGTCATTCGTCATTTAGAATATAGCAAAGTCCACAGAATACATTTTTATTGACGGTCGAGCTGCCAACTTTGGAAAATCAGAATTAGTACTCAGCACCTACTAAATTCGTATTTTCAATCTAAGTACCTATATAAAGATCTGATCATGTGTTATCCCAGTGCTAATGTATACCATAGGGTGGGGGGCTAGGTTAGGGCATGGACGTACTCCATGTCCATGGTTAGGGTAAATGTTGTCTCAAAACAATATATCAAACTGTACGGTTTAATTACAATGCATTGATTTAATTAATCAATGAACAAGCAACAAGGAAATTTGAATTGTTGCAAAATTAAATTTTAAGATAATATCCAAAGACGATCATCAAAGTTGTGACATAACTTACTTCGCGATGTTATACACCGATTTTACCAATAATTCCTCTTACTCAGCCATGATGCCATTCAAAAAATGTTACTTCTTTGTTTGATATGAAATAAAAGTAAAATTTGACTTAGTTTTATCGGGAGCAGTAAAAAACTATGTCCCGCCATGATGTTTGTGACGCAATGGTTGACTGACTGTCCTTTGACCCGATGGGTCAAGAATGCCATTAACCAATCAGAATGCTGCATGGTATTGCCGGTAGAACCCAAAGTTTTCCGAATGGTAGTGATCACAAAAATAACATTGTGAAAGTAAAGCTAAGTCGTAGCACGACGTGTTGGCAACGGTTTCAGTTGAAAACTGCATGATGGTTATCGAAAGAGGTGATTAGAAATTTTAATGGTAAATAGGTCTTGAAAAAAGAGCTTTTACATGATTCACGATAACAGTTCAAATGTATTTTACCAAATCACGCAATAAACACGCTTTTTTTCTTGAGTAGCATAAGCTGACCTGAACTCCGCTTTGACCATGTTTTATGCCTTTTTAAATTTCGTATTTATTTAATGCGTTTATGTATTATCGTATTCCCGTTGTATTTTCGTAACAAATACGAATTTTTCGTAGCGGTTGGCAGCTCTGTAAAAACGATTATGACGTTTACTGATATTTATTTATTTATTAACACACAACATCCCCCGGAGGGGATGAAAAGGGTTACAAATCAAATATTAGTAAAAGAAAAATAACTACATAAAAAGTAAGGGAACAAAAAAGCATTAAAGAAAAGAAAGATAAATTTGTAAACGAGGAATGTATACTGGCTTAGTTTATGTAGGTGCTGCTGTCTTGTATTAAAACAAGGAATTGACATTTTACAGTGGACTTTAAGTTCGTATCACCCATTTCACATGTAGAAAAGCTTTGTCGCGAGAGGGCGCAAATTATAGGAAAGATCGGTACGATAACAAATACGGGTAATCTCCAATAGCGCAATATGTGACGTCAGTGGGCACAAATACATACCTGTTTTTCCTCGGTGCAAATAACTATCTGTCGACAATAAATCCATATCTAATTATAAGGATAAAAAAAATATAGTTTTTGTTAATTTTCAGGTTGTTAAATATCAAGTTGCCACGGTAATCAGTACTGAAATTTGAAATAGGTGGAGAAAGTACTCTATAACTTAATGAGAAAAATTATGAGTTAGTTATTTTGGTGAGAATATGGATTGATTATTGGTTAAAACCACGTGACACTGTCAACACTGATAGTTGTACGAACCGACTTGTATATAGTAAAAGATTTAAATAAAAAGGAATTTAGTGCAGAAAAATGTATTGTAATCCACATGTGGATACCACTCCTATCAAATTATTTTATGACGTGAAGTGAAATTGCATATTCCGCGAGAGTATGG